GTTGGTTTTTGGGTTGGTTCTCGAACTGATTTTGTTAAAGAACCGTAATGTTAATGCGCTATTCTTAGTAGTAATTTAAGGGTTGGTTTTTGGGTTGATAAGGGTAGTAGGGTTCAGAGTTAGGGTTGGTCCTAGCATGAGCTAATATGAATGGAAGAATAGGGAAGAACCGTTGGTAGACCTCTTTTTCAGCCTAACCCTGAGTTTAATTAACAGTTTAATTTCATAATCAAGGCATAATTAATTAGTTAATCAGATTTCTTTAGTTTATTTTCTATTTACAACCTATAAATATTTTCAAAATCGTTTACGTTAATTATTTTTGTTTAAGTTTTATAAAGTTTAAAAACAACTAGCCGTGCTCCAACGACTAGCTTGAAATCATTTGTGGTTGCATCATAACCAAACCCCCAGCATCTGAGATTGGCCGGAGGCGCACCTCGGACTGGTCTCATCTCTCTCGTTTGGGGATTGACAATTGAGAGTTTGGAAGGAATAGATAAGATGCACAGTAATCCATTGCACGAGCCAAAGATTCTATGAGGAACACAGTCCAAAACACTGGCACATAATGTGGCTAGACTTACTCTTCTATCTACAAAAACTGGAATTCGCTTTATCCCAATGTTGTACTTGAGATGTTGATCAATGAAAGTAGGTGTGGAGATTAAGGAATACCATGCCTTGCTCACGCTTTTGAAATGTAGCAAGTCATTAACATCTAATCTTGGAAGAATATAACACTCGAGCATCTCTTTGAGAGCAGAATCTGACATTAGCCCTAAACTGAATCAAGTAAATGGTGCGGACCAGATTTGGCGGAGGCGGCGGAATAATGAATCAAGTAGATGGTGGTTCTATGAAAAAAACAAAAGGGATAGTCACCGCTAATTTGAGCCAGAGAAATGGGAGCGGCCGAGGTTGAGGCCGGCGATCATCTCTGAATCCATCTCATTTTATCTCGATCGGTGAGAAAAAGAAGCAGGGTTTGGCGGAGTTCTATCTTAATTGAATTTCAAAAAAGCTAGGGGTGCACCATATCTTGTACCCCATTTGTGTCCCTCCATCTCCACCACACAAAAGAGGTACAAATGGAGGGGTACAAATGAGGTACAAGATTTGGTGTACCCCTAGCATTTGGTGGAGATGGAGGGGGTACAAATGAGATACAAGATTTGGTGTACCCAAGCATTTTTGAAATTCAATTAAGATACAAGTCCACCTAACCTTGCTTCTTTTTCTCACCGATCGACATAGTTATTTAAGGCGTGATGTGCACCGATGCACAAAGGACCTCTAGTGCCTCGATGCGCGATGCGCAAATAATGCGCGTGCATCACGAACATGAGGCGCATATTAGGGCACCAACAGAATTTCTAGTATATCTACATTAGTAATTATATATTTATACATACACACACACACACAGAATAATATAAAATATATATATATATATATATATATATATATATATATATTTGAAAAGCATAATAAAGGTTAAGAAACAAATGTTTAAAAAACAGAATAATATAAAAAACATAGAACAATATGTTTATAAAAAAACCAATGAAAAACAGAGAAGGACTTGCCTAGTAGAAAGAAGAGAAACCAACGAGAGAGAAAAAATATCGGAAGAAGGAAGAGAGCCGACTTAACCTGCTACTGCCACTTGCCAGTAGGTGTGCCGGTTTGGAGAAAGACTTGCGAGACTGGGGAGGAAGAGTTGTATTTGAATCGAAGAAATAAAAGAAAGAGAAAACAATCGTTTAATTTGCCCACTAGGAATGCCGTTTAATCTCCTTGGGATCGTAAAAGTTGGGAGGGGTGAGTCATAATAAATATTAGCGCTAATCCCTAAACCTAATTAATAAAAAAAATAACAATAAAAAACATATGTTCATAAGACGCGCCTCTTTGCGCATCAATACACTGTGCATATTGCGACGAGGCACAGAAAGGCGCGTGCCTCACGAACAGCGCGCGCATCAAAGTTGGTGATGCACTACTCCTGGCATTTCGTGCGCATCGCGCCTCAAGTGTGCTTTTCACAACTATGCCGATCAAGATAAAATGAGATGAATTCAGAGATGATCGCCGGCCTGAGCCTTGGCCGATGCTCCCATTTCTCTGGCTCAAATTAGCGGCGACTATTCCTTCTGTTTTTTATAGAAGAACCATCTACTTGATTCAGTACTCCGCCTATGCCAAATCTAGTTCGTACCATCTACTTGGTTTAGTTTAGGGTCAATGTCAGACTTTGCTCTTAAAGAAGTGATCGTGTGTTATATTCTTCCAAGATTAGATGTCAATGACTTGCTATGTTTCAAAAGCGTGAGCAAGACATGGTATTCCTTAATCTCCACACCTACTTTCATTGATCAACATCTCAGGTACAACATTAAATGGGATAAAGCGAATTCCAGTTTTGTAGATAGAAGAGTATGTTTAGCCCCATTACCTGCCAGGGTTTTGGACCGTCTTCCTCATAGAATAGTTGGCTCGTGCAATGAATTACTGTGCATCTTATCTATTCATTGCACAAGTCAAAAGTGGACAAAGAGAGTGGGACGGAGGTAGTAGAAATTTAGCCAAGTTTTGCTCTTTGGCTGACCTTTGATCTTGAATCTTGATCCAGCCAAGTTTTACAAATGTACCCTTTTGACCTGTAGGAGATAAATCACAACCAAAGCTGCTCATTTTTGTCATTTTCAATATCTTATTACTGCAACAAGTTCTATTGGTTGACTATTTGTGTTCTTCACAGGTATGCAGGGTTGCAGTACCACATATTGACCAATTACACATTCAATTTGGATCAGATGCTTAATGACAGGGCCTGCTTATTGATTTTCTCTCAGTTCTATTATGTTCAAGTCTTAATTTGAGATCGTGACTCTGTTGATCCTGCTCTTATTTTTGATAAATAGGGTAATACTGCAGTGTAGCTGCTGCATGCCCATGCTCAAATATGTTCGATTATCAAAACATCTGGTAAAGACATAGAATAGAAGAGTTGAAAAGGGTAATACTTTTTTTAAATTTTTTTTATTTTGAGTGGTTGAAATAAAATATCAACTTTAATGATTGGATTTAAATGTTTGTGACAGGAAGGGGAAATATTATTGCAGGCAGAAGATGAATGCATGCTAGGAATGCATTTGCTCCAGTTTGTTGAGGTAAGAAGCCAAAAATGAAGCATCTTTGCTCCAATGCATGTAAATAGGTGACAAATTGTGGGGGTCAGCTTTTTAAGTACGGGTCAAGCATCTTCTGATTTTTTTTTCAGGTTGTCGAAGAGGCATGCACAAATTTGTTACCACATGTCGTCTGTGAATATCTATATGTTTTATCCATGAAGTTTACAAGTTTCTACTCAAAGTGCAAGGTATACTTTACTGAGAAACATTACAACAAATTCACTGGGCACTTCTTCTTTCTTTTTCCACTACAATGTCTGTGTGTGAATTTCTAACATGAAATTTACGGGCTTGGGTTTAGTTTCTGGTTGAACCCGACGGGGTAATTAGTCGTTACTTGAAATGAATTGTCTGGGTATTTTATGCCAACCACTTAAAAGTTTAAAGACAAATTAGCATTGTTTTCAATTTTGTTTTTTTATACTTGAAACATAATTATTTTTTGCACATTTTTAATTTTGGAGTATTATCATGCAAAGAAAGAATATACTCCCTCCGTCCCCCTGTATTTGTCCACTTTCATTTTTACACACCATCCAATGCACTTCTTTAATCCATTTTATCTTGTAATTTGTATATTAAAAAATTATAGAAATTATATATTAATAATCTATATGTTAAAACAAATCAAACAAGATCACACATGACTATATTTAGGCTTACACATTGAGAGAATTTGATGAGTCAAAATGCTTAGATGAACAGTTCCAAAAGTCAAATATGGACAAATACAGGGGGACGGAGGGAGTATATTTTTCCGGCCATGTTCATGTCAACCGGCGATTACGTGTGTCTTGTTTGGGTTTGTGTGTACGGTGTGTGCGTGTCGGGTTCAATCCGCCAACATGACCTTATTGTCGAGCAAAATTTTAATTGTATAGAATCTTGTGGGTCTGCTGAGGAGACCAGCAGATTGTTTTGTTGCTGGCTGACTTTGCAAAATCTGTTGAAGGGCATAAAAAGACCAGCTTTTAAGGGCAAAAGTGTACCCGAGCTTAACGCATAAATGACCTTTGTCCTACAAAACCACCAGAAGTTAATAATGTCATTATATCCTCTAAACTTAAAGAACCCATTCAGTTTTGGACAAAAGAATTAGCCTTCGTTTGGTACACAAAATTTAAGTTATGAAATTGAAATTATGGACAATAATTTTAATTCTGTTGTTTGATAGTACAAAAATATGTGAATTTAGAATTGGTAGTACCAAAAATAAAATAGAATTAGAGAATTAAAATCTTATCCAAATCAATTCTATATAATTTCAACTTCCAATATAATTTTAATTTCATTAATTTTATGTACAAAATGGACTATTAAAATATAGAGTATTACTCACTCCATCCTGTTTTATATCATCTACTTTGACTTTGATTCATAAATAAGAAAGCAAAAAATTGGCATTGACCTTCCAAAATTTCCCTCATTATCCTCTCATACACACAACACAATCAAACAGAAAAATGAAATTAAAAACCGACCACTTCTAAATTATATCACCAAATTATAGCACTAAATTATATATAAACATCAATCCTAAAAATGGAAGCAACAAAGAACAACGGTGCTTTAGGCAGTAGAAATATACTCAGTAACATTCAATATCCCCAATTTCATCATCTAAGTCTTCGAGATCTAAAAACCACCAATTAACATTCAAAAATAGGAGAAATGTCGGTAGATGAAACCATGTGAGCACACCTTAGTGAGGAAATGCTCAAAAAATTAATGCCGAGTGCCTTCATTTTTGTGATAAGAACTCAAAGGTCCCATTGTTTTCTAAAATATACTACGGGGAACTTTAAAATATCCAAAAATTTACTACGGGGTGACATTCCGTCCATATTCCATCAAAACCAAACCACCTCCTCCTCCTCCTTCTTTCCCTCTTTGGATCTAATCCAACCCTCTTCCACCCCTCTTTTTCATCTTTTAGATGTATTATTATTATTATTTTTTTTCTCAACGGCGGCCGGTGACCACCCGGTGACAATTGCGGAAGTCAACGATGAACGACAAAGCAACAACAGCAGCTAGCAGATTTCTTCCCCTTACCCTGGCGACTGCGCCTACGTCCCCAACTATGACTTTGACTATGTTTCCGAGGTGGATCAACAGTCAAAACAGCAAAAGGATGAGGCACATGAGGAGGATGAGGCAAAGTAAGACCAACGGGCTTCTGAGAAGTCCGACGTGCCAAAGTACTGCGCTCAAAACCATCATGACCCTGCTTAAAACAAGTCTATCCAGTTGTACTCAACCTTTTGTTACATACCGAGATCCTCCTCGTTGGGCCTCTCAGAGAAACCTATCCAGACTTGCTCGACTAGAGGCCGAAGTAAATTTATCTCAACCCTATCCTTAGTCATGTGTGGTTGGTTGAAAGTGGTAGTTGCAACGTCGACCAATAGGCTTGCACAACGGTTTGGTTCCACTCACATTGAACAAATTTAAACAAAGGCCAGGAAAATTGATATAGGTTTTGAAATCTAAAATGAAGTTATTTGGAGAGGTTTAAAGTCATTATGTAATAAGTGATAGGTGGTGAGGGTGACCTACAACTGAGGTGGTTGTAAGTTTACTTTTGTCCGGGAATAAATTTCTCAGTTTACTTTTCTTCATTTAATTGAAAGTTGACGTACTATAGGTAAAGTTAGACCTAAGCGATAGGCGAGCGGATCGACTTGGATAAAACTAGCGACGCTTAGGATCGCTAGACCTAAGCGATCCGACCTTGAGAAATATAAAGCAGGATGGATCGGCCGCATGATCGGGTCCTCTGCAGGTGTCGTTTGCTCTCCTCTTTTTTTCTCTCTTTTTATGTAGTATTTTTTATATTGGGTATTTCCTTTTTTTCTTGTTTTTTAAAATTGCTTTGTAACTTGTGGGAGTGGTTTTCATTTTTCAATTTTCTGATCTATTTTTATATCTAGATCTGTTTGAATTTACAGTCTCCCTAACTTTCTTCTCCTTTTTTCCTTCTTTTTTTCCTTTTGTTTCCTTTTTTTTAATTTACTTAATAACCTGTAACTTCCTTTTTAAATCTTGTTTATTATTATTATTATTATTATTATTATTATTATCACGGATTATTATTATTCTTGTTGTTGTTATTATATGTTCGCCATTTGACCGCCCACCTCTCGCCATTAAAAGGGTCCTCTCGCCCGCCCCTCGCCACTCGCCATTAACAACTACGGACTGAATAATGTGGATGTTGATTGCAATGTTTTTGTGGGCAATAAAACTGTTAAATTCACCTGGAGAGCGACTACTGCCTTTCGGGCTCTCTTTTTGAATTCACCATCACCATCAAATCTTTGCTTTGATGCCTTATAGAACAGCTATCGAAGTACCAATTGAAAATGTACGTAATTAGAAGCATTCGCATAACAGTGAGATTCCACAAGTGGTGTAATTTGGGAAATTAGGAGTAACTAAGCTCACCTCAAGTTCTCCAATATCCTGATCATTAACCTCCCCATCTGGGAACTTCTCAAAAAGAAATTCAATCAACATTCCAAACTGCATTATTTATATAAGCATGCTTCATAATTAGTTCCCTGGATATATAATAACAAAAATTCACTAAAGAAGCATGTACCTGAGTGCCCCAATCCCCAACATGGTTTCTGCGAAGCACTTCGACTTTAGAATACTCAAGCATACGGGCTATGGTGTCTCCAATGATAGTCGACCTCAAATGACCAACATGCATTTCCTTGGCAACTATTGCCCTTTTGACATAAAGCTGTGGTGCCCATGTGTCAATGCCATCTGTTAGCATATTCTGGATTCTCTGCAGGAAAAAAAAATGACAAAAATTGAAGTTAAGTTGAAATTGTAAAATTTAAAAAAAGGAGTAATTGTATATCTACTTTCAAGTAGAGGTAAGGAGTGTGTAGACACACCCTTCCCAGATCCTACTTGTGTGGGATTCTACTAGGTTGTTGTTGTTGTAAAAAATAATAATACCTTGGCTATCCATTGTGTTGATAACTTAACGTTTATAAAGCCAGGACCAGCTATGGAGCATGATTCTATCATGTCAGATGTTGGAAGATTCAGCAATATGGCCTAGAAATTAGAAAGGTCATAAGACTGGTTTTGGATCCAGGTTAGTTATTAATTACTTAATATACATAGAAATACCTGTCCAACATGTTGTGGGCCTCTAAATTCTGTACCCTTGCCTTTTATTTTAGACCACAAGCTCATGGCATTGTTGCTATTATCATGTAATGAAAAATTATGCATTAGTAAGCAACAACGACTTCTAGCTTAGAGGCAAGCAAGCAAGCAACCTATCGAAATTACTCACATCTGTATTCTATACATTTTTGTAATCACAAATTATGATTCCAGGCAAGATCAGTTCATGTAAAACAAACATTAAAGAGTGTACGAATTTGAGCTTACAAATTTTATCTAAAATGCTAAAATGTTAGTGAAATTTGCATTAAATAGGACTAAAACATAATGATCTTCCTAATCTAGAACTTAAAACTTTTTTATGCTAAAATGTTAGTGAAAATGTTAGGTCCATTTTCAGACTTACTTTGACTCTAAGTCTCAACTTTGTAAAATGAAATTTTGAACTCTATTTAGTTATGAATGACAGATTTTCCAAAGTGCTTTTATCCAGCACTCTGGACTGCTTTTTTTCAGACTTGCTTTTTTTAAAGTAAAAAGAAATTTCATTTTCATTTCCTGACTTGCTTTTCTTTGAACTCCTGCAAAAGTACTGGACTTAAGAGTCAAAGCAAATGAAATTTATGTCAACGGTGTACTACAATTTAGCATTATGTTCCCCTGTCATTGTTTTCTTCAACTTTTTAAAGTTCTTGCCATTTTTTTCTCTTGAGCTATGAATGACAGATTTTCCACCTCTCATTATAATCAATGAATTGTCAAACAAAATTCTTATGAATGTAAAAGGGATGGGCAACGACTGGGGTTTGTCGGTGTTTTGATGATTTGCCATTGTTTTCAAAAAAAAAATTACCTGAGGTTTGCCAATTTCTTGATGCTTTGCGTTTAGCCGTGTGAATATTACTTTGTTGCCGAATGCTGTCATATGAATATATAGTTTTGAATATGCCCAGGTTGACAGTGAATAATACTTGGTGCTGAATGATATCCTATAAGAGTAATGAAAATACATGGACCCATGTTCTAATAATACTTGGCGCTGCAATCACAATTAATTGGTATGTTTCCTGAATTCATTTTAGGACCATGCCTCCACTGTCTTTTATGACACCCCCGCCACTCTTGGTCAGCTCAATGTTTCATTTCGCTTCAAACAATTCTCAATGATTTTGGGTTTTTTATTTATTTATTTGGTTTGAGAAATGCAGTTTAATTTATGTTGAATTGGATTGGCTATTTGGTACCGTTTTGGATGCTTTTTTTGCTTTGATAATGGTAGTTTTGGTTTCTGAGTTTTCATAAATGATGCTCCTTATGGCAATTGATGAATGAAACATTACTTAGTGGGACTTTGTGTAGAATGATGGTTGAAACTACCCATTTTGGTCACACTGTATTTGAGTTTTGTTTGTTATATGATGACTGATGGGGATTGCTTTTGAATCAAATATTAGAATCTGTTGGGGTTTGGATGAAATTATGTTCATCTTCCAGGTAACATATCTTAAAATATGCTTTTCTTTGTTCGCATCTATATGCTTCATTTTGAGTATGCATTTTGATGCGGACAACACCGTTTTGATTATCTATTTTGCTGCAAGATTCTCATGATTCATCGCCATCTTTGATTCACAATATTATCATATCATGAGTTGAGAAATCATATTAAACTAGGTTATCAATGGTAATCATTTATATGCTAGCAAATTAAAAAAATTTACACAAATAACTTACGTGCAAAATATTAATCTAGGGATTTTAATGCTTGCTATTATATATATGTTACATTAGAAGCACTACAAGAACACCTTGACAACATCTGGATCAAACGAGAGGATCTTCAGCCTGTATGTCCTTTTTTATTTAATTTTCCCTTCGCTTTTCGGTTTATATTCTGCTCAATTTTCATGGCTTCTGGATAGGTTGTATAAATTCATCATTGATGCCTAGACAAATCTGATTGAGTATGCATGTTTGTTCCTGGCTTCAATAATGGCAGGTCTTCTCATTCAAACTTCGAGGAGCATATAACATGATGGCCAGACTCCCAAAGGAGCTTCTGGACAGAGGAGTCATATGTTCATCTGCTGGCAATCACGCTCAAGGAGTTGCGTTAGCTGCAAAGAAACTCAGTTGCACCGCTGTAATCGTGATGCCCGTTACTACACCTGAGATCAAGGTTCAGTGTTATTGAATTTTCTCTTCTTATTTGGTTAGTTATTCTCTAACCAAACAATCTTTTTTTTTTTTTAAATGTGTGAGCAGTGAAAGTAGAAAGACTAGGGGCAACCGTTGTCCGGGTTGGGGACACATATGATGAAGCACAAGCATATGCCAAAAAGAGGGCCCAAGACGAAGGACTTACGTTTGTCCCTCCATTTGATCACCCTCATATAATCATGGGACAGGGCACAGTTGGAAAGGAAATCATGAGCCAAGCAAAATGTGGCGTAGATGCCATATTTGTGCTGGTTGGTGGGGGTGGGCTCATTGCAGGCATCGCTGCCTATGTTAAGATGGTGGATCCAGACGTGAAGATAATTGGAGTTGAGCCAAACAACGTGAATGCCATGGCTTTGTCTCTGCATCATGGTCTGCTGGATCAAGTCGGGGTTTTGCAGATGGCGTGGCTGTTAAAGTGGTCGGGGAAGAAACATTTTGTCTATGCAGGCATCTAATAGATGGGGTTCTCTTTGTTACCTAGGACGCCATTTGTGCCTCAATAAAGGTCAGCAAACCCCCTTCTCTTTTGGATTTTGTATTCCATTAGGCCAATATATATACCTTATTATTACAAGGAAACTACAAATCATTCTCTGCATTTTAACTGGTGTGATACCCAAAATTCATGCATTGCTATTTTTTATAAGCATGAAGTGCATTAAATAATACTCCGTAATACAGCAACAATCCAGTTGGATCTCACGAGAGTAGGTTCGGGGAAGTGCATAAAGTAATTAGAAAAGAATTGATTTTGAGAGGTTTATTTGACTACTTTTGTTTATTTTTTTCATTATAGGACATCTTTGAGGAGAAAAGAAGCATTCTAGAGCTAGCAGGTGCACTTGCTCTAGCAGGTGCAGAGCCCTACTACAAACATTAGAACCAAAAGGATCAAAACATCGTTGTTATTGCCAGCGGGGCCAGCATGAACTTTGATACACTAGGACAAGTTAGATATTGGTGGTAGATAATGTGAGGGAACTTGGTAGTTTTAAGACGTCATTTTTGAAGAACTTGGAAGTTTCAAATCTTTTATCTTGTACTATAATCCTTTAATATAAAATGTGAGAGTTTGGACTCTGAGAAGTTGACATTTGGCAATACAAAAATTTGACATGTGGCAATATAATTGACATGCTATGTGACGTAATAAGGTGAGCTGAATTTAGATAATTCCTTCTAAATTTACTTCATCTTTGATTGATATGTTTTTATGGCATTTAGGAAAATTAAATCTTTTTTCCTTCTTAAATCAAAGTCTTTTTAAAAGGGAAAAATTCTGCCCTGTCATCTCCATAAATCCAAAGCTATTACAACCTATTTTGGATAAAAATAGGTAATTACCAATTTAAGTTGCAAAGTATTACATACTCCATGCATATACTTTTCTTGCTTTATTTTAGTCAGTATAGCTTAAAATATAGTTTGGAGCAAGTCCAAAAAATTTTAAATTTTGAAAAAACTATAAGAATGTCAATGAAATAATTGAAAATATACAAATAATGAGTCAACCGTTTATTTATAAAATGAAAAAGGATAAATAATGAGTCAATCATAGAGTAGAAAATATTTTTCAAAAAGAAAATAGAGTAGAAAATAGATAATGTGTAAATTTTTTTAGACAAATAAAAAAAGGTGACAATTGTATTATTTTCACACACAATAGGTATCAAATCTATATTATAGAGCTTTGTATTATAAGGTTTACGGAAGGAGAATGAGATGAGTAGTTTTTTGCTTTGTTCGTAGAATTAGAAGACTCAAACAATTACAATTTACAAAGAAAATAGACATTCATTTATAGGAAATATAATCATTTTTTCTAAAAAATGATTTCTTACTACTTATGTAACCAAAAAAATTAGATTTAGCTTCTTTTAAAACTATTTTTCTCACAACAAAAAAACTCTAAAAGTCAGAATCCAAAAAAAATTGTCTTTAATAAAAAATTTTAGAATATAACAAAATTTCGTTCCACCCGTGCATGGCACGGGTTAAAACACTAGTAACTATGATGAATATATTGTCAAAGAATCAACTAATATATGCAATATGTTTTTGTTTGATAATTTCATTTATTTAATATTATTATCAAAGTACGCAAACTAAGAATAAAAATGTATTCATTTGAGTAAACATACTTATAAATATCTCTCCTTTTTTTCTATAGAAGTATGTGTGTGTGCATATAATAATACTCTGTTATAATTAAAAAGTATTATTATTGTTTTTATTACTATTATTGTTATTATAGAGTATTATTTTATGATAACTATTTAATAATTATTCATTCGGGCTAGATTGGGTTGGGCCGCGTGCTTGAACATAAAACCCAAACCCGACGTATTACCAAATAATCGAGGGTACTCAAGAGTAATTTTCTTCCAAATGAGGACCATTGATCCCTGCTGCGTTATTTTTAAAAAAATGTTTGGAGTCTGTTTCAATTCATGTATATTTTCTAGCCAAATATTTTCCTTTTCTAATTATTTCCTTTTCTTAATTATTTTATAGTAAATGACCAAAATGATATTTTATAATAAATTGTTTTTTCAAATGGGAGATGCTAGGGTGTACCCCAAATGTACACCACATGCCTCTTTACCATTTACTTTTATTTTTTTTTTTTTAAATTTTACATGCAAAATTTTGTGGTTATGGTGGAGGATATTTGGGGTACACCTTTGGTGTACTCAAATCATTTTCCTTTTCTAATTAGTCCTTAAGAACTATAATTATGCACATAATACTGTATATTTGAGATTTATTTCCAAGAACTCTTTGTCAAAAAATGTTCATCAAATGACTATTAGGTATAGTTATTTTGTACGTTTTTCCTCATCTAAATTATGAGAAAATTTTCAAAATAGTTTTTACTAATTAAATATCTTCCCAAATAACATCTCTAAGGTTATACTCCCTTCGTCCCAAAATATTTTCCACAATACGCAAAACAAAGCAAAATTTTAAGTCTTTTCAATTCATTTTCTTTAATGTAGAAATAAAAATAAAATTTACATATTTAAAAAAACGTGAAATGTTCTTCAAAAGAAGTGGTGAAAAAATATTTTATTTTATCAAATATCAAAGAAAACATACAAAAAAAAAATTCCCATCATTTCGAATATTAAATCACGATATTCTTCTAAAATTGCTAGTCTCTCTGGCTCATTTAGTTTAAAATAGTTTTATTTTGCTCTTAGTGTTGTGTACTTTTCTTTCTATGTGAGTTTGCTTTTTTTCTTTGTTTTGTCTTTTGTGTTCTATTGTTTCTATTCTTAGCTTGCCCTTTCTTCAGTGCTCTATGCTTTATGTTTTTCCCAAGTTAGGAATCTCTTTTAAACAATCTCTCTACTTTCAAGTATGGACAAGAGAGTAAGACAAGGGAGTGCCTTTTGAGCCATTCAACGTACAATGTCTAGGCGATTTGGAGACCTTGGTCAAAAATACACCAAAACAATTCTAATCATTGTGAAGCTTGCCAAGAATCTTTCATACTCCGTACATGCAGAGTATATTCTTGTATACTCCACATGTATGTTAACGGCTTTGTTTGATAACAGCATTTTTTATTAGCGTTAGCGTTTTGGATAAAATTTTAATGGTGCAGATTAATTCTGAAAATGCTAACGCTAATCTCTAACGTTGATGCCACACGGGGCCAACATGCTAAGAATCAAAGAGAAAGAGATCAACAATTAAAGATGATAAACCATTTGATATGCAAGAACTGGGATAAGTTAAAAAGACGGTGCACAGATCCACAACAGTTCCGACATCAATGAAAAAACAAAACCTAAATCCCCATAATTTCGAGCATTGTGCTTCATAACGTCCACAGACACGGATAGTATACAACAAAGGTTCCATATGCAAAATGAAGGTGGCTTGATGTTAAGCCATTGTGCGTGCCAGACCAAACATTTCACAAGTAGTTGTAGAAGGGAGGGGAGTACATGCAGAAACGTGCATATTTTGTCTTAAAAGCGGCAGTATATCCAGACCACATTCAAATAACATATCGATAAGTGACATATCGCCCCGCAGTCTCACTGGGTCTGATTATTTTCACAACTTGCCCACGCTTAAGCCCATAGTATCTGGCAACTGGGTCAGTCACCTGAACACGAGGGAGCTGCTCTCCACAAAGAATATAAAGGCAATCAGTATTAGAAGTTACTACAACAGCTCACGAAGAGGAACCAATTGAGATATACAATAAAACAGGGAGCTTATTTAAATTTGGTTTCATAATGCACTATTATTCATTAAGTGGCACTCTCTTTCTATGCATAGCAACACTCTTCATCGTCAAGAGCAATAAAGATGACATAGAAAGGTGCAAGTGGAAATGTCTTGATGAAGAAAAGAACAAAGAAATTCCAAGAAATCTTTGTAGAGCTCTAAAGATAATTGAATCGAGCATCTCATATTACTAGTTTACTTATGGCCGTATACAAGTTTTCTTGTGGCCTTGGTAAAATGAAAATTAATAAGCCCAAAATGAATGCTAACTGGAACTTTCCAGTCCAATGGGACTGAATCAGATTGAAGTGCTAGCACGATCCAATGATACATACAATAAAAATAATAATAACCTGTGTTTCCTTGAGAGTGTATCTCTCAAGCAAGGTCTTCTTTTCCTCCGGGGTGAGGAGTTGATGCTCAGGAACGAGAACATGATCTTTTATGTTGACTAACAATTCAGCCTCCTGTATAACATGATTGTAAGGAGTAAGGACTAAAAACACCAGGAGAACTTCTAGTTGAGAAAAACACATTAACATCAATTTACAACGTAGAGCCATAAATATAATTTGAAAATGACATTTTACACATGCACTTGGGCTTCATAGACTTTATGATATTATTTTTTAACAAAGTCTATAAACTATTCAATAACAGGTCCTAAGAATCAATGATAAAACTAGTTAATTACCTGGAACACCTCCAAATGAAACTTCGTAGATATTTCGCTTATGCATGTTTGAGCAAAGGGAGTTAATTTCTGCTGGACGACTAATATTGCACGAAAAACATTCTCTGTTTTCATGCGATTTGTGTACATTTTCATTGTCTTAACACCAACCTTAGGTTCATCAGGAAAGAAAACATATATCTGCATCATAAACATAAACAAACAAAAAGTTAAGAAGATACAAAGAGAATGCTCTTTACAAATAATAAAAATAATAGTAACAATAATAATTAAAAAATGCATTTGCAAGACCAATAAAAGATGATTGATTTATTTAATTTCATAGCTTATGGGATAGATAATTTAGGTAGGTATGTTAGTTAGCAAAAACAACCTCCGTCATTAAGTACTCGCATAGTTTGTCTATATTCAGACAAAGTGAGTAAAATTGGGATCATCAATTCAACAAAAATTTTGTTGCATTGTAATGAAAAAATTATTTCATTGTCTCTACCTGTAATACAATTTGTATTTATATGAAGATCAAAGCTCATCCAGTTTGAGTCTAGTTATCATTTTAGCTTTGGACCTTTAGTGCATTAGAGTATCAGCTCTCGACTTTGTATGTGATTGTGAAAGGGAGTGTTGGCTAAAAGTTCAGTCAAGCAATAAAACTCAAAAAGATGATATGAGGTGTTGGGATCTCAACAAAACCTAGCCTAAGTATTAAAGTCATTTACTAATTTATATATGCATGTGACATCAAGATAATACAAGTTTTCAATAAATACTCCATATGACTAAGTAATGTCAGGGTGTAAGAAACACTATACAACTAATTTCACAATCACACCCAAAAAAATGACATGCTGGCAAAAAAATGCCAATTCTAATTGTACAAAATATCAGCCAAGCTTACCTGATCAGAGTTATCATTGCGCATTGCCTTTAGAATTACAAGGTCCTCTCTCTTCATGTTTTCACCATACTTTTGAATGAATTGATCTTTTGACATTTCTATCTCAAAATCTCCCACTAAGTAGCCCCTGTCTCTCAAAAGTTGCATCACTGTCTTCCGAATCCGGAATAGTTTCGTAACTTCCTCGTCCGAAAGTGTCATTTTTGCACTGCTTTTTCTGGAGGTGGTGAATAAACAACATAAGCCTCAGTGAATCAAAAGATGCAGGTTTTTCTTCTTTCTTTTTGTGACAACTTAAGAATCTTTTTCCTTGCTTAAAGGAGCAAAATATACCCAACACAGGTTTTGAAAACACCCACACATAGGATACTCCATCATTAGCTCAATCCCAAGTAATTTTGATACATGGAACAAAGTTTATAGTGTCACTTTGTTTAAAATTAGTTGATACTATAAATTCATGCAAAAAAGAGCACATCATATCGATATTCTACGGATTGTAATTTGAACTTAGCTAAATAAATGCAAACATGCATCTTATTCATGTATTATTACTTTATAAGTATCGTCACAATAATTGCACTATACATGACAATGCAGGTTTTAGGATGGTCTTACAAGAGTTGATCAAAGGATTAGAGTTGGGCTTCACCCAATACATTAAACAGCCCAATACTGTTTAAGAAAGCTACATTTTCGTCAAACCCAAATCCACAGAGAGACTATAATCATGCAAAAAAGAACACATCATCCTGATATACTACAAGTTATAATTTGAACGCATCCAACTAGAGGGCATCTTATTGATGTGTTAAGGTTTTTTCACAAAAATCTTTATATATATATATATATATATATATATATATATATATATATATATATATATATATATATATACTTCCTCCGTCCTACTGTGTTTGTCCACTTACCTTTTGGCACACCATCCAATGCACTTCTTTAATCCATTTTATCTTGTAATTTGTATATTAAAAAAATTATACAAATTATATATTAATAATTTATATGTTAAGACGAATCAAACAAGATCACACATGACTATTTTTAGACTTACACATTAAGAGAATTTGATGAGTCAAAGTGCTTAGATGAACAGTTCCAAAAGTCAAATGTGGACAAAAACAATGGGACGAAGGTAGTGTGTGTGTATATATATATATATATATATATATAATAGTACAGTTTTTTGGGCCAACTTTCCAGCCAAAATCCAATCGATATAGTAGCATCACTTAGGATTGTGGAGCCTAAATTAATAGTGGACAGTGCATGCATAACACTACACGTAGCTTTCACAACAAAACAATAACAAATCAAAGTGGGATACTCATGCATCAAGCTGTCCAATTTCACCTTTTTTATCTTTTCAATAAGACAATTGTAGAATAAATTGTACCATTGTAGAATAAATTCAACAAGCTATTTTTTAGTCTTTAGAGGAACAAATAGCACACAAAACGCAGGAATTGAGTAGTAACACATACTTGGGCTCTTCTCCATCAATCCACCAATAAGTTTCAATAATATCATACTTTAAATAAATCATAATCGAATAAATGACATAAACTAATCTAATATTGACTATGCATATGAATTAAAACTATCTATGACCCATGCACTACCTCAATTAATTAGACGAATTAAAACAAATCAATGAATCAAATCAACGTTGAAGAGGATGGCGGCGAGAGGCTGTTTCCCGGTGACTCCAGCTGCGGCGGCGTCACAGATAGTAGCGGCTCCACTCCTGGCGATTTTGCCGCGTAAGATCTCGCTGCGTCTGTCTCTGGCACTCATTTTTCACTTGGTTGTGCGTGTAGATATAGGTATATAAATTTGGGGCTTGGGATTCTCTTCTCGTACACTAAGGGGGCGTTTGGTTAATGCTGAGGAAAGGGAAAGGAAACAGGAAAGGGAATCAGGAAGGAAGGGAATGATTACCCCTGAATTACTCTGTGTGTTTGGTCCAGTACAGGAAAGGGAATAGAATTCCCTTTATTTGTGTTTGGTTCAAAACAGGGGAATCAAATTTTTTTACACAACTACGATTAATTTGTTAAAAATAATACTTATTAATTTTATGAAACATACAATTAAACAAAATTCACACATCATCCTACCTTTCCTACTCCTCATCATCAAAAACTTGAGGGTTTCAATTGAATTCTAAAAAAATTGTAAAAGATTTGTAAAAAAATTTGTACAATTTTTTTGTAAAATTCTGTAAATTTGTAAAAAAAATTGTAAAAAATCTGTAAAAAATTAGCACAGAAAAAATTGTAAAAAATCTGTAAAAAATTTGAGGGGTTTCAAGTGGAGGGGAGGAGAGGAAACGAAGTGTGGAGGGGAGATGAGGAGAGGAAACGAAGTGNNNNGGAGGAGGAAACCGAACTGGAAGGAGAGAACATACCTGGAGTTGCAGCGGCGAGGTGTGTGGCGTCGAGGTGTGTAGCGGCGAGGAAGAAACGGTTGGGGAAGAAACGGTTTTGTAGCGGGGAGGAAGAAAGCGGCTAAGAGGAAAATCGAAGGGTTGGGGAATGGGAATGGGAAACACGCACATCTAGCACGGAATAGAAAAACCTAAATTGGGTAATCCAAGACCCATAGGGAAAAGGAATGATTTTTTTTAAAAGAGAATTAGGGAATTAAAACCACAGTGCTTAAGTTTTTAAGCCTTAAGACCACCAGGTGTACACCGGTCTTCTGCATTACTTTAATTTTTAATCTCAATCCTATTTGTGATTTTCAACATAGAATTCAGCTCAACTCAGATTCACCTCGTACTATTGGATGGCATATATTACAACTTTAGCTTAACCTACTTTTAACACTAATTCATTAATCTATATATGTGTGTGTGTGGACTAAATTGTGGTTGTTACTTAAGTTTAAGGTCAAAGTATGAGGGAGGGTCAAATTGAAAACCAATTAAAGACTTGAGCTAATTTGTAAATGATAAAACTATATAATCCTTTGTTTAGTTCCTAAGTAGAAGAACAGGTTTGCGCTGCTCCAGCGACGGAACAGAGCAGCAAACAGGCGGCTTGATTACAGCGGAACTGCAGCGGCACCTCCCGCTCCCAACAGCGGCAACTACCAGCAACAATATCGGCAGAACAATAGCAGCTAATCGACATCCCGGCAGTAGAGAAATCGTACAGAGCGGAGGGAACCCCGTTGCCGGTGTCCCCAATTCCGGCGGCCAAACAGAGGAACAGGGCAGAAGCATCAATGTATAAATTTTCCCAAAATTAAATTCATATCCCAACTCAAATTAAATTCACACAATCAGCCGCATAAACATATTTACGAATTCAACTTCAATTGAATGAAAACATATCGATGAATCCTAATCTATGAACTAATTTTAACCAGAGATAAATCACTCACCTCGATTGACGAATTAAACCCCGGTTGACCCCTTGTAGAACTCCGGCGAAACTACTGGTCTGCTCGGTTCCGTTGCGCGGCAGAAGAAGGAGAAACGGAAGATGCTTCTAAAGTAAATTCTCAAGTAAAGAACGGACTACTTCTATTTATAATGGTATAAGCTCCAATTCGATTAGGATTAGGAAAAGTACGTTTTTCTTTATTTCTTTATTATTGTTATTTATAATATTATATTATAAAATTCTTTATATTTATATATTGAACTATAACTTTTATTTTACTTACCACGCTTTACCCAAAAGTCCAAATTTAACAAATTATATATCATTGGTCACCATTTTATGAGATCTACCCAAAAATCTAATTTTTAATTAAAATGGTCAATTTTACAAATAATTCATATTTTAAAGTCAATAAACAATATATTCATTTTTATTAAAATAACGGTTAATTACTAAGCTGGTTCTCAGGACGTTACAAGCTTTTTATCTCCGATTTTAATTATCCCATAAAAAAGCTTGTGCGTCTCTATCTGCGCAAGAGGATGTAGCTGAATGCAATCTCATATTCTTCGTCAACATATAAATTTTACCATACAACCACAATTTTGAAGAAATGATGGTAGCACCTACAATATTCTCTCTCGAAGCTCTGGGTAAAACATGAGAAATTTGTTGAAAATCATCTCCAAGTACAACCATTTTCCATCCGAATAGTTCATTTATAGAGTATTAGACAACCTCATTACATCTCTCATTCTACGATCCAATGTGTCAACATATAAATTTTACCATACAACCACAATTTTGAAGAAATGATGGTAGCACCTACAATTTTCTCTCTCGAAGCTCTGGGTAAAACATGAGAAATTTGTTGAAAATCACCTCCAAGTACAACCATTTTCCATCCGAATGGTTCATTTATGGAGTTTTTATTAGACAACCTCATTACATCTCTCATTCTACGATCCAATGTCTCAAAAGTAAATCTATTCATCATACATGTTTCATTCCATACGATTAGACTTACTTGTTAGATTAGGTTTACTTTTGGGCTCCATTGTTTGATGGCACATGTTGACCACTCAGGTAACGCCAGACGAATTAAGAATCTCAAGTGTGTTGTCCTTCCCCCAAGCAAAAGCAATGCTGCAATCTCACTTGATGCGACATTTAAGACAACTTTACCATTTGAGCTTAGAGAAGCAGACAGTAATTTCCATAGAAATGTTTTTCCAGTTCAACCGTAACCATACACAAAAAGGGATCAAATAGTATTTGAGTACATTGTTTATAATATCATATACATATAATTAGTTAATACACAAAGATATTTGTCATATGGTTACCTTCATAAAAAGTAATAACTCATGTTATTGAAGATAGATCAATTCTCTATTATCTATTATGCACTTGAAAGCATGATGAAGTGGGTGTAGAATTATTCCTAGATTGATGCACTGTATAGATACTTTTTTAGGAAAAATGTGATGGAAATGTTTAATTTTTAATTCAAAGTAAAAAATTAACATTTGTCACATCACAGAGTACATTCTTTCTCGAACGACTTCAATTATGCAAGGTTATAGCCGATGACGATGTCTCTCTATTTGTATATGTAATTTCTATCATAAAAAATAGTGTACTAATAGCTTTTTGACAATTAAAGCTTTGGTCCAAAATTCCTTTTTTATGTGTATTAAAATGTAAAAATAAAATCAACTAAAAATTTGACTAAACAAAAAATAAAAAAATGAGGATTTAAGGTTGGTCCATAAACAATGTTGATGATGATGATGATGATGATAATAATAATAACTAAAATAATAGTAATAATAATACCAATAATAAAATTAATACTAATAATAATTATAAGATTATTATTATTATTATTTATATAAACAAATATTTAAAAAATTATTTACGAATTTCGTAAAAATAAAAACAAATATTTAAAAAGAAAAGAACTTTTAATGGAATGTTTATTTAATAGAACATTAAATATTTTTCATATATAGTAAAAAAATATTATAATTCTAATAAAAATTATGCTTCATTTTAAAATCACTATTTTCTATTTTAAAATTATTATTTTCCATTAATAGTTTTGAAAAAATTATCAAATTTGTGTCACTAAAATTATTATCTTTCAATAAAAATTTCTAAAATGGTAAAACTTGGTACGATAATATTTATGTGTAATAAGTTAATTTTAATTGGTGTTCCTAATAGAGATATGTATAGTATAACATTAGTTGTTATGAATGCATCCTTTGAGGCCGGATCGATAAATTGGCTTACATACTGTTATATTCTTGGTTAAAATTTACATGTTGTATTATAAATAATATATGCTTTATTAAAAAAATAAATAAAAATATATATAACATTTAATATATACGATTCTATAACATTTAATTCTATATAATTCTATAACATTTAATATATATGATTCTATATCAACAGTACAATATTCTATGCATAAGAAAATCATACAACAGTTTTATTTTCCACCAACGCTTTCCTTTCTTATGTAAAATTTAATATGCAATCTTATTTCTTAAATAATAAAGTAATTATGTATACTAAGGGATTTAGTTATGAAGAATATCTAGCAACAATAATTTGAATATGACATGAAAAAATCATAGTCAAACAATTATTTTGTTTGATTTAGTTATTCAAAAAATTATAAACAAACATGCGTTAGGATACTAAATAAATTTTTTTAATGAATTCATTTATAACCAATATGAATCTTTATAGTGATACACGAAGTATCTTCATTTCATAGAACTAAAGCTTATTGAAAAATATGAATTCGTTTAAATCAATAAGAAATAAATAGCTAAAAATGCCTTTATTGGGTGATCTTTTTTGTTGAAGCACTTCCTTTTTTCGTGTTCTCAGTTCTTTTGGCAATAACCATCTTCCGTTACATTGCTTTTACATTGTAGCTATCAAAGCAGTGGAGTAATAAAAACTTGTATACGGTTAGACGGAAAAAAATGACAAGGTGTCATGTATTTATATATAAATCTTGAGGTAGATGTCAAAATAAGAAGTTTTTAATTATATTTGTTAAGAATAATTTTAAATAGTAATTGTTGGATTTAGATATGGAAGAATACTGCGAAGTAGTGTTAAACGAAGAACTCGATAGAATAACGAATCGCGTACGAAACGCTTTCAGATCAAAGTTATTTCGGGGTATATGAAATACTTCAATCGGATAAGACGTTAATTCAGAACAAGCACTCGAGAATATGTCCCTCAACCCATACCACGAGACTCTATTTTATAGAGTCGAAAATCCTTGTGATCGGACATGAACGTTCGCGTAGATGTACGCGTACGTTCGCGCAAGAAGAAAAAGGTGCGAGTTTGAACGAAAGGTCTCTTGCGGTTGAAGGCTTAATTTCGACGTTTATCCATTATGTACGAGTCCTTTACTGTTTTGGACTCCGGTCACGAAAATCTTAAGGATTTTCTTAAAGAAACAACGCTCGACCCCGGCCAGGGGCTCTGCCCCTTGGACCCCGCTACCCGGGGGCTGCCGCCCCCCGACCCCTGCTATCCCGGGGGCTGCCGCCCCCGGACCCCCGCAGTGAATTTATAATATCGTTGAACGAGCACGCACTCCGCGCCTCCTAACTCGTTTGACAACATCTATTTAAATTCTTGTCCGATCAAAGTAAATCTAATTACACAAAATAAATTGATGACACTAAAATCACCAAGAGTAATCACATTAATAATGATTGATACTATGTTTGATATCAATTTTAAAAATGTAAAACGTAATATAAGAAGTGAAACATGATGATTAGTCTCTAAAATTATAGAAAGTAAGAAGGAATTAGAAGAAAGTTTACTTATTTTAGAATCTAGAAAATCTAATTACTTGCGGATTTTTTATAAACAATTCCAGAAAGAATTTTTAGTTTCTTCTTACACCCTTAGTTTATTCCAACTATTCTCATTTTCTTCAAACTCTTTCTACTCCTCGACCAATTACTCTAAAAAAGATATATTTTTAATGTGATTATTATTATTATTATTATTCTTGTTGTTGTTATTATTATTTAAAAAAATTAAAAATAAACTTAAAATTTTACCCTTTTCTTTTTGTTAAGGAAAAGAATTTGAGTATCATTTATTTTTTTAAATAAATTTCAACCACATATTTTTTTAATTGTTTTCATTAATTTATTTAGTTATTTTTTTAATTTTTGGCAAATCCAAATTGTTAGTCGGTTTTTTTTCTTTTTTTATATAGATAAGGTATGTGTTATACTAAAAATGCATTATTTTTCCCTTTATATTTTGTTGCATTTTAATATACATGGTATACATTTTTATTTTCAAAAATATTTTGAAATATCAAATTTATATTATTCAATTTTATTTTTAAAGAAAATAGTGTTTGGGTATGATATATTTTTCTATTTCAAATAAATATCCGAGTATCTTTTACATCAATATTAAAGTCGTTTATTTTTTGGTGATGTCAAGTTGCTAGTGGGTTTTTTCAATAATGTAGAAGTATTTGAAAAACAATGTTAACCTCAAAGATGTTGAAATTTGAGGTGTGCATGAATACTTTTTATCATTTGTTTTCCTTTTAATAAAAATAAGCCATGTGCTATGTAATAAACATTGCATTAGGAATCATATATAATTTTTTTGCCTTTTAACCTTCGTGTATAAACACGTATATGAACATTTTTTAAACCTTTTATCAATTAATAGCTTAAAGGCCATCAATTTAATTGGCATCCATTTCTTACATCAATTTCATCGGAATTTTTTTAATTTTTAGTGTAGTCAAATTGTTAGTGAGTTTTATTTTTGCATTTTAAAATTGATAAGACATGTGTTATATAATAAAAATGGCTTATTTATCAATTTATAATTTTTTGTCTTTTAATATATGCAGTATATATTTTATTTTTTAAGAAATAATTAAAAATCGGGGTTACATTATTTTGTTTTTAGGAAAAAAAGTATTTGAATACCATTTATTCATCTCTTTCAAATAATTTTCACAAAATATTTATTTTTATTTTTAATATGAATTTAATGTTTTTTTATTTTTTGCAAACTCAAATTGCTAGTGGTTTTTTTCAAGTGTACAAAAGTATGTAAAAATTAATGTTAAGTTCTACGATGATAATTTTTTTTAAACAAGGCATTACGGTTCATGTATAACTCATTTGCCTTTACATATTCGTAATATTATCTTTAAGCACGTACATATTAAATATTTTTCTATCTTTTAGCAATAAATAACTTATATACAAAGTAATTTTCAAATTCTATGTATTCTTTTATAAATAAAGCGTGTATCATTTAAGAATATTATATTTAATTTTTAACCAAGAATATAAAAAATAGTATTTAAGAACATTTTTTGATCGTAAAGCATTTATATAATTAATACCATAAATTCTTTTGGCCAATTTTGCAGAAGAAGAAACGGAGAAAATCTGATCTTGCACGAAGAATTAATGGTCATCCCTCAAAAGAAATTATAGACTTAAAGCCAAGAAAAATGCTACATGTACCCCATATTTGTACCTTTATACCCCAAAGCATTACCCTGATATTAAATGTAGGTGCAAAAATGGTATTATGCCAGTGTTGCACCTACATTTAATGTCAGGGTAATGCTTTGGAGTATAAAATATGGTACAAATATGGGGTACATGTAGCATGCTCCCAAAGGCAATGCATAAAAAATCCATAGAAGTCAATGATGACTCAATGATGACATGGCTCTTGAGGCGTTTAAAAAATGTCCAGTCAGCGTGCCAAATGTCATCATTCTAGAAGCTCAATTCTCAAATTTTATATATAAAGATAAAGATAAAGATATTTCCTTTATGAAAATACTCTCATTTAAAAACAAAAGTTTTATCATTTATGAACACTGTTTATATCAAAAATAAATACTTTTAAAGATTATGAATACCGTGATGTGAATATATATAATATCTCATATGAAATTTAAATCTTGATAGATTTTTTATGCTCCCTGTTATATATTTAAGGAAATTTTAATTATTAAAAAAGTTATTGAATACATTAAATCACAAAGTTTTCATATTAAAAATTATCCAATATACATAAACCCATAATGCACTAAACTTCTTTAATAAATTTCTCAGCTTTAATTAATGGTATAATATGAGCTACTTCAAAATATATTTTAGACCAATAAATTTTCATACAAAAGCATAAATTAATAATTTTTAAAAAACTATATTTTAGTCACAGTCAGTATACCTACAAAATCAGCTTTAGAGTTCACCGTCGTGTCAAATTGTCAACCATCGCGAACATAGCCACTTTCCAAAATCAACTTGCAAAATTTGTGATATTTTAAATTGACATATTGAATGATTTCTAGTATAATTTCCAGTAAATCTATAAATTGTTATTTATCATGGTTGCATGTTAACTTTAATTGTTTATGTTATTATGCTTCATTCATTCATTAAATACATTATTTAGATGCATGAAACTAATGAAAGCATATTATCTCATATTGTGTAAGGGGTTATGCCATATGAACCTCTTGTACTGTGATTGTGCATAGCTTATTAGTCCGATGTTGCATAGTTTGGGCTCAGTGTATGCACATGATTATCCAAGTTTTCAGATGCCACTTGCAATTTCTAGTGTCATCCATGTCACTAAGGTTTGCCTAGATCATCATATACCAAGAATGATATCAAAGCGCAAGAGATCCTTGCATAGTTTAGGACTAGACATAGTCCATGCATCATGTATTCATCATTATGAACAATCATTTTGATCATATTTGCTATGATATGCCAAATCATGAATATCCATATTGTTTACGTTGAGCGTGTAGTTTGTTAACTTTCGACATACAGGTAAGAACAATGAACAGGTTATGCGAGTTAGGGTAGCCCCTCCGAGCAAGGTTTTAAATGATTCTAAAACTATTAACTGCGACTACCATCTTGTTAACTACTCCGAGCTAATTAGTCACAATAAACAAGTTATGCTATTAGGCCGCTCTTTCTCTTGCAATTTAAATAGGAGCTTATCCTATTCAGTGCTTGTGACGTCCCAATAATTGCCTCACCTCATTGCCATGCCATGCTAATCAAGACTATCACAGATAGGACTGTGGTGCATAGGTGCTTCATTGATAACGAAAGCTTGATAAACATAAAGTACTTCAATACTTTCAGGGATTTTGGCCTGGACAAAAAAGATTTGTAATTCGTAAGAACGCCTTTGCTGTGTGATTCTCTCACTTCAACGACAACTTAACGACGAATCGTTAATTTTAATATTTCCGTTAAAGTTTTGAAGTAACCGTCATAAACAGTCAGGGTCGGCCTCGAAAAATGAAAGAATAAAATTTTCCCGGTCCAAAATTTATATTTTGGGACCTATTTTATTTTTTAGAATACTTATGCTTTAAAATTACGAATTTAAAATGGGCCTAAAAAGTTTAGGGGTCCTGTGCGGTTAGTCACTTTGTACACCCTCCGGGCCACCCATGTAAACAGTGACCTTTTCTTATTTGGTTGGAAGGATGTTTCTGTCATTTCTCGCGAGTGGAATGGATGCGCCTCACGCGATTTTGTGTTAGATACGGGAGGATATTCTAATAAATTCTTTTATGTCTTTTTCCATAAATTCTTTGAGGATAATGCTATTTGTACCCCAAGAATTTGTACCCCATTTTGTACATCGCATGGATGCACCAACATTTTGTGTTAGTGTAATGCTAATTTTTGTTAACGCACTAACACTTTATGTCAGTGTAAATTTTTGTTAACGCACCAACACTTTGTGTGAGTGCAAACCATCAAAATGTTGGTGCATACCTTTGGTGTATAAATCAGGTACAAATTTTGGGGTACACGTAGCATGCTCCATTCTCCCAAAGGGTAAAGCTAATTGTACCCCAAGGATTTGTACCCCATTTTGTTGGAAATCAGGGTGATTTGTAAGGAGGAACAACACTGCATAGCAACGTTCCTTGGTATAAAGTAACGTAAAATGACTTGACAGACCTAACGAATTGCGTGAAAACACGCTTTCAGATTAAAGTTATTTCAGGATATACCAAAATACTTCAATCGGATAAGACGTTAATATATAGAATGAGTACCACCTTATCTCCTCAAACATGCCATGCGCGCCCATAATATAGGCATTTGGGCGATCGGACATGATCGTTGGCCGAATAAACGCAATCCGTGGGAAAAAATTTATCTTTTGGGTAGTTATCCAATTAGACTTATTTGAATAAGTGGCCACTTATTCAAATAGTTCAGGTCTTCCAAAAAACCAGACTTGCGCAGAACTATTCGAATAAATGGACATATATTCGAATAGTTGGGGTTCTCCAAAAACAGGCTCGTCTGAACTATTTGAATAAATGTACATTTATTCGAATAATTTACTGTGTTGAGCATTATTTGAGTACCTTTTGCATACGTTCGAAAATTACAGATTTTCGACCCCCAGCTAGGGGCTCTGCCCCTTGGACCCTGCTACCGGGGGCTGTCGCCTCCTGACCTTGCTGTGGAATTTCTAATATTGTTGAACGAGCGTGCACTCCGTACCTCCTAACTCGTTAACGTCTATTAAAATTCCTATCCGATCTTAAGTTTAATCCAATTACACAAAATAGTCGATGACACTAAAATCATCAACACTTTGTGTCAGTGCAAACCATCAAAATGTTGGTGCATACCTTTGGTGTATAAATGACGTACAAATTTTAGGGTACATGCAGCATGCTCCATTATTCGAAAGTATAAAATTATTTGTACCCTATTTTGTACACCACATTAATGTACCAACATAAAATGTTGGTATAATGCTAATTTTTGTTAACGCATCAAGATTTTGTGTCTCTGTAAATTTTTATTATCAAATTAACACTTTGTCTCAAAGCATGAGTGTGAAAGTGTGAACATGTACTTTTGGGACATGTAGATGCTCTTCTTCGAAATCGCTGTGTGATTTTCTAACCCGCCATGGCTTCATATCTCCTTCAACTTCCACTCCTCCGACCCTCGTCCTCATTCTGCTCTACCGATGGAACAAAACGCTCTTTCCCGCATGCGGCCTTCTTATCCGTCAATCTTTCGAGCTTAGCAAATCGCAGGAATACCAGAACGAGCCATGGCGGGTGGAGGAGGAGGAGAAGAAGTAGCAGGCTCTCTGTAGGAAGACCTATTTATGAGGATGATGTTAGCTCTTCTTCCTCAACCATCACCGCAACCCAAGAGAATGGAGCTTACGATGAGGATTTGGAGGAACCAGATCCCGAAGTCCTTGAATACGTCTCTCAAATCAAAAGAGTACTTATGCACTTCATTCTTCATCAATCTCCTTCGTTTGTTTGCTTGTTTACAGATTGTCATTGTTGTTTTCAATTTATGAAGCATTGGGGAAGTTTTGGTAACTTGATTGCTTTCTGGTTTTAGGTTTTGGAGCTCCTCAGGAAGAATAGGGATATGCTGTTTGGTGAGGTGTCTCAGCTTTCCTTCCTGTTTATTATCCTGCAATAGTTGCTCTAAGAAACTGTTAATTTTCATCGCCCCAGATTGTCTTGTATGTAAATAACTAACTGACCATAGCCAGTTACTCTACTTTTAGTAGTACTTTTTCGGTCCCATTGTGTTTGTCACATTTTATTATTTTGGTCCATAGAGAAATGTCTTTCTCATTCCATATACTCTCTCCGTCCCAAAAAGAAGTTTAGGGTTTGGCTTCACAGAATTTAAGAAATGTGTTGAAAAATTAAATACTGAGTAGTATTGCTAAAATTTGCTTAGAAGAGAGAAATATTGTGATCCACATATTCTGTTTCATAATTGGACAGTAAAGAAGTGTGAACCTTATTTTGGGACATCCCAAGAAGGATAGTGTGAACTCCATTTGTGATGGATGGAGTACATGATAGCTGTGCTGTTCAAAATCATTCATATTTTTTCAATACTTACATACTCAATAGTAATAACATAATTCCCTATACTTTAAATTCGTGCGCCATTTTTCCCTGGCCAATTTCTTTGGGACAAAAGGAGTATATGTTTTGGTTTCTTAGGACAAACTAGATGCTTGTGATTTCCTATAGGTTAATGCATAGTTTCTGTCAGCTTTCATTACTTTGTTTCTGAAGTTGTTTCATTAAGATGCTAGATTTAGCTCAAAAGCCTCCTTTCCCCCTTGATTGAACTGCTTAGTCGAGTTCCATTGTCAATTCTGTTGGTTTCAATGCAGGTAAAGTTGACCATAATGATTGAAGACCCCAGGGATGTAGAGCGGAGGAGGATGCTTGGCATTGATGATGATAATGCTCCAAGTAGAGATGACATGGCTGCTGCTCTTGAAGAAGTAAGTATACTGCTCTTGCTCTGCCATGCATTTGGAGGCTGTGTAGTTTCCAGAAAACAGCATTTGGGTTTTGTAGCGTAGATCGGAAATATAGAGTCCTGTTGGTTTTAAATATGGAACACGACAGGATCAATTTGTACGTTCTGAACAACTGCAGATGAAATTTATGTCCAACCAGAGCAATAAGAGACCTGTTTAGTAAAGTACCATTAGTGGATAGTGGAGCATCAACAGCTGCTTATAATACTTTCAGAATCGCTTTAATCCTTTAGACACAGTGGGTAATGTCTTTGGGGGTTGTGTCTACCTCTTCAAAATGTAGTTCCCTTCCGTCTTCAAAATGAACCTTTAATATTGAACAAAAGTTTTCATGAAATTTCTGTTTTCATTTTGAAAAAGATAAATAACTTGTTCCTGTTGTACATCATTCTATGCAAAGTTCACAATGTTTTAAATGGTTTTATATATTTGATATTTCTAGTCCCACAGTTGATTTTAGAAATATCTATATTTGACAGAGTAAAGTATTTTATTGATAATATGGCTCTATACCAAACCTCTTAACTCTCCAAATTGTTCATTTTCTATTTTTTACAAACTGAAAATGGAGATTGTTTATTTCAACATTTTTTTGTTCTTGTTAAAACCTGGGATTATTTCATACTATTTGTCTATTTGATACTCACCCCAGACCCTACTCTTGTGGGATTTAACTGGGTTGTTGTTGTTGTTGTTGTCTATTTGATACTCAGTATGTTTTGCAAACTTTAAGGTAGGATGCAAAGATGATACACTGGTCATAGATAAACTAACATTGCAAAGCAGTTCTATAAGATTTTCAAATGTATGGCAAATCTTTTAAAAAATTCAGGGCCATGTAAGTTCAAATATATACGGACTACCTAATGTAATTTCCTCCTATTGTCTGCCAAAACCAATATCATAATAATAAAGTGCGTAGTATTTATCAGTTCTAATGTAAAACATTATTGATGACTGATGTATGATTGACGTTGAAATCCTATATTATTTGGCTTCTTTAAGTGATCTCTTTCACATATACTCTCTCTGTCCCACAGAATTTTTACACTTCTCCTTTTCCCTTTTAGAAGAAAGAAACATGTGGTTCACAACAATTCTCTCTCTTCTAAACGAACTCCAATCAGATCTTTCACTTTTTAATACTTTTCTTAAACTCTGTGAAGCCAAAGAATGAAGTTGTTTATGGGACAGATGGAGTATGTAACAGAGATCTGACCAGTAAGTTGGAACTCTACAACAGATTTATTTAAGTAGCTTGTACCTACAAGTAACATGTAGGTCATTAAATAAATGTGTTGTAGAGCTCCAATGATGTATTGGTTTATAGGTAGATAATTTTTTTAGAGGAAAAACAAAACTTATGGAGAAAACCATTTTACGGACTTCTTTTCCAATAGAAAAATATTGTTTCACAGAAGCTACTTCTCATCCCTGGCGTGTTCTTGACTTGTTACAAAGTATCTTTGTTGATTAGGAATTAACTCTTGAGGTCAACGGCTTGGGTAACGTCTATGACACGATGAGTCAATTTATTTGTGGTTTTATACCTTTGTTTAAATAGAAAATTTATATAAAGGAAATTTCACCTCAATTTCGCTATTTTAAGACCTCAAATATCCCCCCCTCCCCCTCCCGTTCAGTATATGCTTAATTTGAATCATTACAGGGATAGTGTTTGAACATTTTCTCTCTTCTTCTCAATGGAACTTTGTTTTTGCACATATATGAAATATTGAAATATTCCCATTCTTTCATTATGTTTTATTAACTTCACAGTCCATTGCTTCTGCAAAATCCTCTGGTTGCATGCTTAGTGGTATTTGACAATATACATCACAAACAGTGTTATACTCATGTTTGTATGAAAGCACATCTTTCTGTGTGTGTGTATGCTTACTAGATTCTTTGCTCTTGTTGAAGATAAATGAAGGGAGGATTCCTAAGAATCGCCTTGTTCTTAAGATGCTGGCAGAAGAATTGACTTCATGGCCTAATTTGGAGGTATATGTGTGAAGTGATTTTAAGCATTCAATCTCATTTATTATTTCTTTCACAAGTGTCCTTTTAGCTCTATCAGATGGTGAGTATGATCTAACCTGTTATTCATTGTCTAGCATGAATGCAATTGCAACTCCTACAAACTAAATGACTAATAAAAATAGATTTTGAGGAAGTTTTTCCTCGGTTCTGGAACATTGCTTACCATGTCCATGATTGTGCTATAGAATGTAGCCCCGAAGAAACAGAGGCCTGGAAGATCTATGTATGCCCGAGCCACTGACACTGGTGTTGATCCAAAAGAGGCTAGTCGGAGGCTCAAACTTGATTGGGATTCAGCAGCGGAGATTGAGGAAGCCGATGAGGAGCTTGATGACACAGAAGTGCCTCCAGCTGTGGTTAGTTCACCTTTTCCATTAGACGTATAACATTTTAATGATTTTGCATGATTTCTCTCTATTAGCACTATAGATTTAGTGAGGAAAGTAAAGGGGAAGTTGTGAAAACACCACGTGGGAAAACAATTTTTTTGTTGAAGCTCCATATATCAACTTTAGATATCTCAATCTCATTTTATTTATATAATTCTATTATATAAAGAGTAAGACGATGTTTTGGGTTGTGGTAGATTCGTGAAAAATCAACAGTTTAAAGTAGAAGCGAAAAGCAAATGGTGTTAGCTTCAATTATTGAGGCCCATTTTGGACTTTAGAAGTCATAATCTATAAGCATAAGATTGCCAAACATGTTAAACTGCATTTTAACAAAGTAAAAGCTCAAAAGCAGTTTTCCAACACAACCTCAACCACCCTCTACAAACTCTTAAGATATGTATTTTTTAAAGATAAAATTTGATTTTGTTTATATTGTCCTTAGCAGTGTTATCTAATATCTAAGGCAAAACCAAACATAAAACAAATAATTTTGTGTAAATTTTCTTCCCCCCTCACTATTTTTCGCATTTAGGATATAGCCCAACTCACATGATATTCTTAAAAAAACACTAATTGTTGAAGCTAGTATGTAACCTCATCTGGAATCTTAATTCTCAAAGTCGTTAGTAAAGAAACTAAATATGTGCATTTGCCGAATTGTCGTGTATTGTTTTATGTGTAAAGGCTCTAAATACCCTAAGGTAATGTTGGAAACTAGGGGTTTATTTGAATTCTTGGATTTCAATTTTAAAATTTAAAATAACATATTTCAATTTCCATTCCAACATTTGGGAAACACATGGAGTTCAATTTCATAATTTCAATTCCAAGTGTTGTTTGGAAAACCATAGGAATTCAATTCTGAATTTTGAAGTTGTTTGTTAACTAAAGAGTTCATTTCATATGATTTGTGAATAAAAAAATTACTAACATAACCTCAAATATATAATGGCCAAATTTTTCATTAACAAAATACATATTCATGTAATGTAAGATAATTATAAAATTAATAATCTGAAATACATACCTAAACCTAATACTATTTTTTAAATTAATCACTCATCCAAACACTAGAATTTAATTCAACTTCTCGTCTTCAGGCAAGTCCTTGAGCATTGGGAACTCATCCGACATATTCATGAATTTCTTAACTGCGCTCAAAACTTGATGGCAAAAGATGTTGTCCATTTTGGAAACATCATGGATCTCTTTCCCATTTGGCTTTGAAGTTGCATTTATACTACTTTGAACATATTCTTGGAATGTATTTGCCAAACTTGTAATAGCGTCAGTCAAATGATCTTTTTCACTTGTTTTGAGACTGAACCTATCTTATCTTTAGACAAGTTCAATTATTCACTTGTTATCTCCTCATCCATAGTTATTGCCGCATCATCGCGTTGCTCTGCACCACCCCCACTGCTCTATCCGATCCAAACGAAACACATATATCTTCCTGATTCTCTAGTCTTATTCTGATAAGTACTTGCAAATTTGGAAGGAAACCTTGCATCTTGCCAAGGCTGTGGAGAAGCAAAAAATGATTCTAAAACATAGATAACATTCAAATGTATCTTAAAAAACATAAATGAATGTGTATAGAGAAGATGATTTGCAATGTGTTGCAAATAACATATGAACATGTATATCAAAGTAATAATAACAAGTGCTACTTCCTTAAGAGATGATTACCTATGGAATTAGAGATGAGATAATAGGCATGACAAACCAACAAAAATTGAAAGGAATGGTTCGATAGGTTACAATGCACAAGTTTCAACTACAAGCTAATAAATCATCCTTGATTTACCTATACTGGAATGCTAGTCCATGGATCAAATGTCATATCATGAAAATTCACATTTTAATGATTGCTTAGCATTTTGATGAAAATTTTAAAGAAAAGTAATGTTACCTTACAATATGTGCTCCATTCTTTCAAAGTCTGCTATAGTGATAAGAACCATTTTTCTTTAAAATGTTCATCAAAATGTTAAGTAATTATTAGAATGTTGATTCTAATGATATGAGATTTAATTCATAGATTAGCATTTCAGTATAGGTAAATTGAAGATCATTTATTGGCTTGTAGATGAAACTAGTTCATTGTACATGATTGAACTAAGCTCAAGTGATAGAACAAACCATAGTCACAAAATTCGCTCCCTAAGATGCGACTTCCGTATTGGTACGCGGCGTACCTAATCGAAATTTGATTGCAATCCAATCGTATCCGGTACAGTGGACCTTTTGACGCGGTACAGTGTACCAGATCGATCTGGTACGACGTACGAAAAGCCAACTGAAATCGTCCCCAGTCCCTTGGTACGGCTCACCAAGTCGGAAAATAATGGCGTACCAATTGCCAGTGGTACGACGAACCAGCCCAATTGGTGACTTTCCCTCTTCCAATTGGCGACTTTCTTTTTTCCAGACTTACGTAAATTGAGTAGTTCCCACTTCCCAGGCACGTATTGAGTATTCCACTTTCCAATGTCTTATTAAAAATACCCATTTAATATTAAATTCAAAATTCAATTTACAAATAAATACAGAGTATGATACAAATATATATATGTATATATATATATATATATATATATAGATACATACATACATACATACTAGTCAATTAGAATATTTTAGTTGATGTTTTGTTTTTTATATTAGATTTTGTAATGTTATGCACTTATGCTCTCTTATCTATTTTTATTTACTTATATTTTGACTTTTGGTACACCGAACCGAAAGTTACCGAATACATGGTACACCGTATCGCTTTGTACCGAAATGAACCTACCCCCCTTCGTACCGAATTCGTCACCTCTAGCGAATTTCGTACCCGTACAAAACGTATCGCGATTTAGGTGACTATGGGAGAAACCTACCAGACCATTCCTTTCTAATCTAGTTGGTACGTCATGTTTATAACTCGTCTCTAATTCCATAAATAATCATCTTGTCTTAAGAAAGTAGCACATATTATTATTACTTTGACATACATGTTCATATGTTATTGGCGTAGCGTTTTGCGCATTTGCTTCTATGTACACATTCATTTATTTTTTACAATAACTTCACATTTGAAAGTTACCTTGTGTTTCAGAATCACCCTTTGCTTTTGGGCTACCTTGCTCAGCAAGATATAGGGATTCCTTGCAAATTTAACCGTTCTAAATGATTTCATTGTGGTTCTAATTCAGTTCTAAGCATATTTTTAAGGTTCTTACAAGATTATCCACAAGCAAGTTCTTATCAGAATAACAGTATAGAGAATCGTGATGATATATGTGTTTTGTTTGGATCGGATAAAACTGTGGGGAATGGTGGAAAGCAACATGATGATGCGACAATGGCTGTGCATGAAGAGATGACAAATGAAAAAACAAGCTTGTCTAAAGTATGAGATTCAATGTCCAAGTAGATGAAAAAGATTGTTTGGCTAATGTAGTTACAAGTATGACAAACTCATTCGAGGAATATGTTCAAAAGTAGGATAAATGCGACTTCAAAACCAAGTAAGAAAGATATCCATGACAGTGTTTTCAAAGTGGATCAGATCTTTCGCCATCATGTCTTGAGGGCTGTCAGGAAATATATGAGAATGTCATATAAGTTCCAAATGCTTAAGGACTTTCTTGGAGATGAGAAGGTTAGTTGGATTTTATTGTATTTGGATGAGTGACTAATTTCACTACTAGCATTATGTATTTTGTTATTGAAAATTTTGGTCATTATATAATTTGGACTATTTTAGTAATTTATTATTCATGAATCATTTCAAATGGAATCCTAATAGTTGCCTAACAACTTATTCAAACTCTAGAATTAAGTTCTTATGTTTGTCTACTTTTCCAAACAACATTTAGATTTGAAATTGAGTTCCACGTGTTTTCTAGATCTTGGAATGAAAATTGAATGATGGAATTTCAAGTTTTAGAATTGAAATCCAAGAATTCAAACGAGTTCCTAGTTTCCAAGCACTACCTATGGGCATTTATAGCCCTTCTCCCTTATTTTATTATATTGGTCCTCAAATTATATATGTATGACTTAACTTCAACAAAAAAGGCATCTTAGGAGTTAGGATCCTATGGTACTGTGACAGTCTGGCATAAGTCTTGTTCTTTTTTGGACTCAGCCTGCCTGACTTTATTGTTCTTTTCTCTGGATGGAAGGTGAATCAAATTTGTATGCAAATTGCACCTGTGAGTTTTGATGCAATTCTTGAAGGCTGTGGTATTGACAATGTAGTACTATTCTGATGCAGGGATATGGAGCTCTGTACTTGATTACTGCATTTCCAATTATCATTGGTATCTCAGTTGTGTTGGTTTTATTTTACAATTCCTTGCAGTAAAAACACATTCTCAGTATTCAACTTTTGTCTCAGCTGTGGACTTATTACCTATGCTAACCTTGAGAGATTGTATAGTGCAAAGGTTTATAGTGATCAATGTGTTTAGTTTACTGTGTACATCTTGTTTACTTCACCACAAAAAAAACAAACATTTATTTTCATTTCGCCATTTTCTGAACTTTACTGGCACATTTAGAAAAGAGTATAAAAATGGTTTTTATTTTAGTTATTGTTTTTAAATGATAGGAAATGTTATGAGTCGTTGCATTTCATTTCATGGCCACTTGCTCCACCAAAAAGCATATAAAAATGGCCTCGAGTATGTTTGCACATGGGAGAGTACATATCCGATCCCTAACTTGTACAGTGTCCAAAACAAAGAGGACCATAAATGGTCTGTTTGGGAACAAATCCTTTTTCACCTTTTGACCAGCCTCCCATCTCGCGGGTAATAACACGTCCATGAATTTTGTTCCTTCACGTTATTAGGGATGGCAACTCGTCGGGTTTGGGTTGGATAGTATTATACCCGAACCCGACTCTATTTTTAAACCCGAAATCCGAACTCAAATCCGACTTTTAAACTCGAAAATAACGAATTTTAAACCACGCTTTTATATGAACAAAACATCCGACAAAATTTTTGACAAATTAAATTGCTAAATTTGATTATGCAAAATTGAGAGAATATATTATATTATACGTGGTACTCTGTAAGGGAAAAAATAAAACAAGTTATACAAAAGTTCATGATTAACAAGATAGACAAAGTAAAGAAATGATCGGGAAGGAAGTAGCGAAATGTGTTAGAAAAGAACGAGAAGTGGAGAAATAGAAGAGTAGATATACAATATATAATTATAAAGAGTACTTTGAAGATGCATACATAGGGTTTTTTGGTTTTAAATAATTGGTTTCGGGTCGGTTTAGGTTTGGTTTTTTTTGGGGCGTGTTCGGGTTAAATTGTCATCACTATACGTTACGTTGTTCCTGTATTTATATAGACAGTGACATATTCTATGTGTTAAAAAAACAATGATAGAATAATCATATAAAACTGCAGTAAAAAATGCTAGGGGTACACCATTTGGTGTACCCCTAGCATTGCTCAACTGCAGTAAGATCTTTTGCCCATTCCACCTTTCCTTGTTAAGAAACACTTTTGCAAAACTATAACCATCCAATTGATTATACTCCCTCCGTCCCAATTTAAATCGCCCGTTTTGACTTTTAGGCATATTTAAGGAAAACAAAAAATAGAGTTGATATTTTCGAAACTGACATTACTTTTTAAGAGGGGTGATGATGAATGAGAAGATAAGGTGAAAAAGAGTGACTTATTTTAAGGGTAGTTTAGGTATTTTATTTTTAAAAGTTTACGAAAACAACTAACAGGCAATTTATTTTGGGATGGAGAAAAAAGGCAAACAGGCAATTTAAAATGGGACGGAGGGATACTATTTCATGCCTTCAAAATAGCATATACTTCTACATACATGGAAGAAGAGTCGATAACTTTAGGAATCACATATGACATGCTTTACGATTAAATTTATATTAGAGTATATCAAAATATTTTAATCGAAAAGGACGTGAACTTCAAGAATGAGTGTGAGATATTCTGTCAATAGATCATACCAAAGTACCCATATCTGTATAGACAAATTTTGACCAAACATCTTTATTGGAGCGAACCAATGTAACTCTTCACGAGATGATTTTACGCGAATCATCTCATTTGATGGAGGAAACATTCGAATGCATAAGTTGTACATTCAAATTCACATGTTTTTTCGCAAGGGACGTTGTTCGTTAGCGCTACATCGAAGAGCTCAATCTCCTTGGACGCCATCGAGGGCTGTCGTCCCTTGGGGTTCCGCTATCGAGAGCTACCACCTCTGAACCCTTACTAAGAAATTTGTAATATCGTTGAATGAACGTGTATCTCACACTCTTAAATTTGTTACCATCATCTATTAAAATTTAGGACGGAGGGAGTATTATTCTTAAATAAATATATTATTCCAACATTGACTTTTATGGTCAAGGTCTTTAAACTTGAGATCAAGTTATAGAAAAAATATAGTGAATTATAATATAAATTTAATATTAATAACTTAATTTCAAAACATAGTTTTGATACTATATGCTCCCTTCGTCCCGGAAAACATTTCCAAATTTGACTTTTTGGTGTTTCAAGGAAAGTATTCTTTTGTATTTGACTTTCTAATTTTACCCTTAGTTTTTTTTTCGAAAAAAGAGATGTTTCAAATCATTAATAATGACTAATAATGTGAAAGAGTAATAAAAAAGTAAAAACTAACATGAGATGTGATGGGGGAAAGAAGGGTTGAAGTTGTAGTCAATTTTAGAGAAATTGAAATTTTTATGAGACGAGAAAGATGAGAAATTAAAATTAAAATGTTTTGTGAGAATTATACTCCAATATATTGATATATAATAATAGAAGTATTGAATTAATTAAAATTTTGAAAACTCAAATAGTAAGAAATGAAGGTTTGCACGATCCACGTACAAATACAAACTAAACTTTTGTGTAAGCCCCAACAACTCTTAGCTGGAAAAATGATTTTAAAATCAAAGTTCATCGTGGCCCTTTAATTTCCCTATGGCTATCCATACATTAGTTACATTATTCTTTCCTCAAAATTTATCCATATTAATTAGATAAGTGGTGAAGGAAAAAGGAAGAAGGGTCCCAGAAGAGCCTTTTGTTTTGTGCTCTGATAAGATGATGAGAAATTCAAATAGAGAATGTTATCTTCTCGTACTCCCTCCTCCCAAATTATTTGCCACGTTTGCTTTTTCAACAGTCGCGAGAACTTTTGTTTATTTCTATGTTTTCATTGGTTATTTGACAAAATAAAATATTCTTGACACCTCTTATTTCGAAGAACTTTTCATGTAGTTTTTTGATATGTAATTTTTATTTTTTATTTCTTTACCAATATGTAAATAAAATAAATTTAAAAAACTTGATATTTTGCCGCATTAATAGAAATGTGACAAATAATTTGAGAAATGAATGAAGGGTCTTTAACCATCAAAAGTGAAATAAATGAAGGGTCTTTAACCATCATATTTAGGACCATGCTACACTTACACCAAAAAAATATACCTCATTTGTACACCACAGGCTTGCACAAACATTTCGATGGTTTACACCGACACAAGTGTTGGTGCGTTAATAAATATTCACACGGACACAAATGTTGGTGCGTTTAACAAAAATTAGTTTTACACCAACACAAAGTGTTGGTGCAAAACTGCGGGGTACAAATTGGGGTACAAACCTTGGGGTACACATAGCATAATCCTCATATTTATCCCCAACTTTGCCCCCCTTCCACANAGCTAGCTACCACAACCCAATCTCCCTCCATCTCAAGTGTTATATTGCATCACCCTAACCACACCTAGCTCACACATCACTTTGGTTATTTTGACACTCGTAAACTAGTGTCATATTATCACATTTTGATGTTCTGGTCAAAATCTTGACTAGAATATTAAACCAATTGGTAGGGGTGGTGTGTAGGGAGCGCGTCCGGGTGGAACCAAACGAAACGCCGTAGAGTGTTCAAATTAAATGGATCGGATCAGTGTCACAATATGAAACTAGCTAGCTAGTAACCAATGACACAATATGACACTCGCCACGAGTGTCAAAATAACCGAGTCGAACTAATTAGCATTATGCATAATAATGGTAAATTTACCCAAACTTTATCTAGACACGCACACGCAAGAGACTCACAAATTAAACACGCTCTTGAAGTTAATCAATCACCACCACCACTACTACTAGTACTACTTTAGTCGTTACTATATTACATTATTGTAGGGGCGGCGGGGGCCAGGATTGCGGGGAGGAGAGGGGAATTTGGCGCAGGGGAGGTGGCGGGGGCAGGTGGTGAGGTGGTCGTTGGTGAGGCCGGCGGCCTGCATGAAGGAGTGGATGACGGTGGGGCCGACGAAGCGGAAGCCTCTCTTCACCATGTCTTTGCTTATGGCTTCCGACTTGGAGGTCTTGACTGGGATCTTGTTGCTCCACTTGTAGTGTGTGGCTAGTTGCTTGTGGTTCACAAATGCCCATAGGTACTCATCAAATGACCCCATTTCCCTCCTTATCTAATGCACCCACACAAAACACAAACACCTAATTATATTGCTGAATATAATTAATGGTTATCAACAAGTTAAAAGTGGATGGATTAGTGAAGGAAAGGGAGACCATGCATGTGATGAAAATATGAGATGTGACATATACAGTTAGCTAGCTAGCTAGCTAGTCACTTTTTACTTTAACATGCAAACATATACACATAGTGGATGACAATATAAACACACACACACACACATATATACACACACATATATATCAACATTCAAAGAAAAAATGTAAAAAAATGTGTAGTGAAAATTTGTCTGGAAAAAGGAAATTAAAATAGTGTGTCATATACTTTTTTCTTAAAAAAATAAAAAAATGGAATTTATTTTGGAATGGACAAAAAAACTTATCTCCATCTCAAAAACAATAGACAGTATCAAATCAATTCATTATATAACATTTCCAAAAGATACTCCCTGAGTTGATAGATAAAATTGAAAATGTGTAATAGAGTAAGTGTAAGACCTCAAGAATTTTGATAGAATTGTCAACGGTTCCTCTGACCAGGTTCAGTTCTATTCCATAGTCAACACTGATAGAGATCATCTTCTTCTCAGTGTACTTCGAAACCAGCTCTGCTGAGAACCCACTAAAAGCCTCCCTACAATTCAACCACAACGTATGTACAACTCGTTTCATGCATGCATGCAATTATTATAGTGAAATTTGTAGTAAATATTACTAAAATATTGATGGGATTAACCCGATCAGATGGCGGACCAAGAACGGAATAAGAGTAAGGAAAATATAATCTCGTAATAATATTCTCAATTGGGTGTGTAATCAATTCTCTCTCCTTTTATAATGGCGGGTTCTTCCCCCTTTTATAGTACTTCTAGTTTCTAAGTTAGGATTACACATTGTGAAATTTGTATTGAATAGGACTAAAACATAAGTCATTTCTTAAAGTAGGACTTAAACTTTTTTATTCTTTAAATAGGACTTAATAATGACTAGTGAGAGGAATAATGTCCAAGTGATATTGGACATTTAGTTGAATAATGGCTAATAGATAATGACCAATGGTCCTACATTGGGAAATAAAAAGATATGGTCATATATTGAGAAAGTCATTATGTTTTAGTCTTATTTAGGTAAATTACTCTTACACATTATGGGAAGTTTATGGAGATCATGAGGTCGTGATTCCCTTCCTGGCCTTGATTTCTTTCCATTTCCCCACGATTTGGGGCGTGGGCCATGTGTCATGTTCCTTTCTCGGACCGGATCGTCTCAGTCCAGCCCATGATTGGGCCGTCCGCCTCGTTGCCCATTCGCGCCTTGTTGGGCCTGATCCGTTACGCGCACCTGGATTCGTTTACCTTGCGCGATTGTGGGCCTTTATCGGGCCTAGAGTCGGGTTCTTCAGACCCGATATCCATCAAATATATATCATTTTCTAATATAGTACTTATTTTCTTTACCTAAATAGTATTTAGATAATGCCTAGTGGTGGGAACAATATTCAATACTGGTGGACATTTATTTGAACAATGACCAGCGGACAATGACCAGTAGTACTACATTCCGAAATAAAAACATACTCGTACTACGTATAATACTACATTGGAAAAATCACTATATTTTAGTATCATTTACGTAAATTCCCCATTAGACTTCTTCAATTCCCTTCCTCTTAATTGTTACTACTACATTCCTTTTTTTAGAAATGAACATAAAAATGAACCTAATAAATACTCCGTACTTCCTCCGTTCTAAAAAAACATTTCCTCTTTCATTTTTTTACTTCAAACAAAATACTTCCACTTTCTATTAAAAAACCACTTTTACCCTTACTTTTTCATATCCTACCTATCACATCATACTTTTTCTCTAATATTCAATCCATCACATCTTACTTTTACCCATCACATCAAGGGCAAAATTAGAAGTCAACTACAATTTAACACTTCTTTTTTTTTACACAAAGTCAAAATAGAAACATTCGGGGAGTAATTGTTAGCATATTTATATACCTGAAATCTTGCCTTTTCTTCAGGACGAATGCCCAATCTGATCCCACTTGTGCACCAGTTAACACCAATAGCTCAAACAACATGCTGCACATAATAACCCAGTATTTTTTTAAAAAAAATCCATCGATTTTTTACTGTTGTATTTTTAAATCTATTTTTTATATTAGGAGAAAGTACCAAAATAGAAACTCAATATTTTTTATCACAAAAATAATAGTTACGATGTCAATAATGTTATTCCCACCGCCCTAAAATTAACTTCCCAATTTCATTTTGGTGGTAAAATTTTTTAAACTTTAACGGCATATTATCATATAAAAGTATATTGAATTTTCATATAAATATAGATAAATAGAGATATTATCACTGGTCTAAGTATTATATAGAGGGCTTTGAAAAATCAAATGAAAAAATAATTTTGATTTTGCACTAATTTTTGAACTTTTCAAGTTTTCCACTTGTCATCATGGACAGGAACTCCCCATTCTTCATCATGGTAAGCAATATAGATTGGATCAGAATTGGGTGTTATGAAGCTGCACCTTTTCTCCTCACGACCGGCGGCAATGGCTTCGCCGCCGCCGGAGGACCCCTTGCCGGACTTGGACCTTCCATAGTGAGCGATCCGCATTTTCCTCTGCACCTGCATGATTGCGGCTTGCTCCCTCATCGCTGCCGCTATGCTTCCCGGTCCGTCAACCGCTGCCACCGACATTCCTCCGCCTCCGCCTCCGCCGCCGGCACTCCTGGACTTCTTTGCCAGCACACTCGCCGGAGCCTTCGATGACCCCCGTGGGGTCGAAACCTTCTCGCCGCTCGAGTTGAGGCCGTGGGGGTCCTTCCCTGATCTTTTTAAGGCGGGCTGCCGGGGCGACTTTATCTTGGGAGAGAGCCGCGGAGGGCACGCTGACGGCGGCGTTAATGGCGCTAGTGCAGCGGCGGAAGAGGATATTTTCACTGAACTGCGGCGGTCCAACAGAGATACTCTGTTTCGGTGGCCGATGACATGGGAAACATTTGCCGCCTGTGGTTTAGTCTTGGAGGAACACATTTTATTAATTTAATTTAATTTGATTTATTTGTTTGTGTGAATTTTTGATAAGGCGCGCAGCTCAATTGATAAAGTGCGTGAATGACTTGGAAGATGATATGATTTGGGTATTTATAGAAAATGAACTCAAGAGGGCTCATGTTGTGTGATAGTTCCCACATTGACAATGTTTAGTGTAAAAAAATAAAGATGGAGAAAATATTTCTGTATATTCAATGGTTGCGGGGAATATAAAGATCTCCTCTTTTATTTATAAGAAGAGTGTAAAAGAATATCAATCTAACTAGAAAATAATTCAAGAGAGTCAAACAAGGAAGAAAACGAATATAGCAAATCGAATCCACTAGGGATTCGGCATGGCATTCTTTCTCGGTTCCGCATTCGTGTGTCCAAAGTAACACCCTACTACAAATAGAAGTGTGAGAATTACCGATGCCTAGCTTGGACAACAAGTGATTAAACCAGCAGAAGTGAGAGCTTTCGTGAGAATATTCGCTGGTTGATCAACAGAAATGACGTGCTTACTGTAGAGATTCCCACGTTGAATTTCTTAAAAACGCTTAAATTTTGTGGAATATTATTTATAAATACTTTTTTTAAAAAATACATATATATTTAATGTTAGAAATTAAAAACAAAAAAGAGATTTTGTCTAAAATAATCACACCTTTTATTTTTTTTTTGCAAAAACATGCATTTTCCAAAAATTTCTTTAAATGGTCGTTAACTTTTTAACGGCGATCCAAAACTCGCACCCACGCAAAAAGGTGAGATTATTTTCGGTACAGTGAAAAATGAGATTAGTTTTGAAAGAGTATAAAAAGTGAGATTATTTGAGATAATTTCCCGTATTTTAAATTTAATTTATTCTAAAATTGGCGTGAAATTTAAAAGTTAAAGTTATATATTTAAAAACTACATCATAAGTTTCACTAAACAGGATGTAACATGCATATCTTATTTAATTTTATCAAATGAGTAAATAAATGGAGAAAATCTAAAGTAGAAGTGAAATATAAGAAAATGTCAAGGAACTGATTCAATCAAAATCTCAAGCATGTGGTTGTGACACAAGAAAAGTTATTTATACACTAGCACGCCCATTCACGTGCAGACATAATCTTTTTCAAGCCTTGCACGTAAAACTTTTAATTTTTTTAAACTACGTAGCGCTGAGTTTCGAACCCATAACTTCTTAGCCAACCTGGCTCCGATACAATGTCAAGGAATCGATTCAACCAAAAGCTCAAGCTTGTGGTTGTGGTGCCAGCAAAGGTTATATATATTCTAACAGAAAATAAAATAACTAAAACAAGATATATTCTCCAAAAAGACCAATAATTCCAATGATGTTAACATATAATACCCAAACACGCAGCAATTATTGTTAGGATATTAATTCAATATTTCCAAAGGTTTGTGAGAGGGAAGATTCTAGAGAATTCTATAAGTTGGTGGAGATGTGTAGAATTCTCTAGAATGTTGTGGAATTTTCTAGAAAAGTGTTGAAGTCTCTAGAAATGTGTAAAATAATCTAAAAGTTTCTAGAATATTCTAGAGCTTTCTAGAAAAGTGTGGAAGTCTCTAGAAGCGTGTGGAAGAATGTAGCGTTCTCTAGAATATTCTAGAACTATGTGGAGTCCTCTAGATTCTTCTAGAACATTATGGAAGCATGTGGAGACTTTCTACAAGATTCTAGATATAAAGAGATGTGTGGAACATTCTAGAGAAGCCTAGCCTTGGTGAGGAGTATAAATAGGGGTGTGGATGCCTCATTTGGTAAGGAGTGTGGAGGAAGAAGAGAGTGAAGAACCAAGAACGCTTCTTGAGAGTGCTTGTGAGTGAGATGTTCCTAATACAAAGAGTGAAGTGTGCTACCCGTGTAATTGTAATCTCTCTTGTACATTTTCTTTATATAATACAAAGTCATTTTCTAAAGTCGTGTCTTTGTATTATTGAGTGTGTGTGTGTGTGTGAGTGTACAAGAGTTTGGTTGTGTGAATCGGAGAAAGAGGTCGAGACTCACATCAATTCCCCAACAATTATACAGTGTCATTTTATATATTTTGAGGATAAAAATATTTGTTTTTTTTGGAGATAAAAACTATGCTTTGTTCCAATTTAGGATTTTGTGTGATCACTTGAACTCCGCAACAGGTAAAGTTTTTTATATATATTAAAAGTGGGTGTGGGCAGGGGATATGGGTGAGGAGCGAACAGGTGAATGGGAAGGTATATTAGACTATTAGTAACATGGGAAAGTTGGGGAACAGGTGTATTATCACTTCCTTTTGTTTAACATTTCTTGGGGCGAGATGATATCCCAAATGTGCCCCACCCCCTCCATAACCACTCATTTTTATTTGATTTTTTATTTACTTTTTTTTGAATTTTCTTACCTATTTTTGTAGACAAGGAGGGGGTGAGGGACATTTGGGGTACACCAAAGGTATACCCCTAGTATTTTCCTTTTTGGGAGAAAGTAGTACGGGTGAGCAAGGACCGAACCGATCCCGATATTTCCCGAAAAAATCGAGAATACCAAACCGAAAAATACAGAACCGATAAAGTACCGAAAAGAAACCGAACTGTACCGAACCGAACGGTCGGTCCGGTATTTGGGAACCGATCCCGATATTTCCCGAAAAAATCGAGAATACTAAACCGAAAAAGACAGAACCGATAAAGTACCGAAAAGAAACCGAACCGTACCGAACCGAACGGTCGGTCCAGTATTTGGGAATGGTACGAGGTTACTTCCCATACCAAAATTCCCGAACCGAACATATATTCTAATATATTATAAAATAATAATCTTTTTATATTTCTTAATTAAATAAAAAAATTATATAGACAATTTAGTTTATTTTCGTTATGTTTAAGTTGCACTTTATTAAGAGTTTTTTATTTTTTGTAAATGAGTAGAAGAATTTTAACAACCATTTGAAATAATACTTTGTTATCACTAGTTCTCTTTAGTTTGTGAAATATAAACTAACTTTCATAAGCATTTCTTACATTTTATTTTTCATTTTTAAATTTTTTATCTTTCTTTGGTTAAATGTACATTCAATTTTTCAAAAAATAAAAGATTTTGTTACATTTTATGATGTAAACTAGGTACGTATATATTTATCTCGATTTGTATCGAAACCGATACCGAACCATATCGAACCGATGTTTCGGGATCAGGATCGATACAACGTAAAATCGCATACCGAACTAAAGTATTTGATACGGTATTGATACGAGCTAAATACCGTATTATACCGTACTACGCTCACCCCTAGAAAGTAGCATCATTTGGGGTACATCACTCTTATATAATTTTATATTTTCCGTTCAAAGAACACCACTCAATTGCCCAACAGCTCAACCTTATCCGTAATTCTTAATGACCTTAATCGCCATCGCCTATTCGCCTGTGTTGTTCGAGGGCGCTTTATAAGTGTGCCCTAAAAAAAGGTTTCTCTTATAAAAATGTCCAAAAAAGGTTTGATATTATGAGACTACCCTCTATCTACCCTCACTGAAAAGCACGAAAAATTAGCATGTGAGATTCCCAAATTACCCCTATTCTTCGAAAGCTATTGTCGAAAGAATCTAATTACGTCCCACAGCCGTTTAACTATTTCCCCCCTTTTTTGACCCGCCCCGAATTTAACTATTTCAGTTTCCCCCCTTTTTTGACCCGACCCGAAATTAACTATTTCATGCTTTTCAGCTCCTCAATCGTACGCACACTACACATTTGTTCTGCAAATCGGCAACCTAATTTGAAAGCAAAGCAAAACGATAAGATTTTGGAACGCGTTTAGAAGCTATTGCGTAGCACAGAAGGAGGAAAAAGAGTAGAAAGAGATTACGGTAAACCCTAATTTTCGATACCCCAAAATTTGATTACAAACCCTAATTTTTCTTTACACTAAAGATTTATGATTTTTTTGTTTAGCTCTACTAAACATCCTTTCTTCTTCGCTATTGCGTAGCGCAGAAGGAGGAAAAAGAGCAGAAAGAGATTACGGTAAACCCTAATTTTCGATACCCCAAAATTTGATTACAAACCCTAATTTTTCTTTACACTAAAGAGTTATGATTCTAATTAAGCCAATTGTGTTATGATTCTACATATATTATGGTAAACCCTACATATCTAAGATAGAAATAAACCCTACTCCGAAATAAACCCTATTCGAACATAGTCTGCAAAACCATACGAACATTTAGGGAATATTCGGATATCATTATGATGTTTACGAATATTCGACGTTATTTCGATTGGTCTCGACTATTCGACGTTCTTTCGATGAATTTCGAATACACTTAAATGTGATATTTTTTGTTGTTTATGTTTTTTCGATTGCAGATGGGTACAGATGTTGTTATATTATATGTTGTTTATGGTGGAAAGTGGACCATAGATCACGAAGGGAAGTATGTTTACAGTGGATCGGGCAAGAATATAACTTCGTTGTTTTGGGATGTTGCTAATTTGGACTTTGATGCCTTTTTGAAAGCCATTATTCAAAAGCTTGGTTGTGATATGAAAAATCAAAGGCCAAAAATTGCATTTCAAATTCAACGGCTTGAAAAAAATATTCCACCCTTTTCCATCGATTCAAGTGAAACACTACATGTATTTCTTTTGGAATTAAAGCAAAACTTTACAGCCTTGCATGTTGAGATGGTTCCATTTGAACGTGAAGAAAAAGAACAAGAAGAGCAAATACATGAAGTCCAAGAAGAACTCTTGGGATCGCAATCAGCAATTGACCCCTTCGTTCCCCTGATTGATTGCTTCCAGGATGACTTCTTCAATTGTATGATTGTTGCTGATCAAGAATCTGGGCGTGATCAAGACGGTATTGTTTTTGCAGGGAGGTGTGATCAAAATCCTCAATTCGTTGAGTCTAATGCCACCCCTGTGAAGAGCCCAGCAACTGCTCAAGTGGATGAAGATGATTATATCTGTG